GCCTCATGTATGCGCGAAGCCCCCCAGGTGCCGCGCCCCTTACCCGTGAGCGCAAGGACTTCGAAGTCAAAGACATTGTCGAAAAGTCCGTCTGTTCCCAGGATAATCAGATCTCCATCTTGAACAGGAACACTTGTGGATTGAATTGCAGATGGCTCGTCGCCGATGCGCCCCCCATGGCCCTGCCCGTACTCCTGCTTCGCTATGCCCACAAGCCGAGTCAAACCCTACATCAGCAGCAGCAGCAGCAGAAGCAGAAAAGACATTAGCACACGAACGGACGCATTCTTTCTCGGTTGCTTTTGCAGAAAAACAACAAAACATAGATGCTTAGAGGGAATCGCAACAGAACGAAGCCGAAGCAGCCAGGGAAGGTGAAGGCTGGGAAGGCTGGGGGTACGGGGGAGAGGAAGAAAAGTGAATGCATAAGAACGGCGGCCCCAGCGCATACAAACACATGTGCAAAGGCAGCCCACAGGAGGATAAGGATGCAAAGAAAAAATACCTACAAGAGACATCCAAAACGAAATAATAACAAATGCAAATGTCTACGATAACAGGAGTAACCANAAATACCTACAAGAGACATCCAAAACGAAATAATAACAAATGCAAATGTCTACGATAACAGGAGTAACCACACGACGCACCTTCTGCAACAAGCCGTCCCACTCCTCCGGACCTGGAAGGTGAGCGAACTGAAAGGGTACATTGAATCCGTGCTGCATTTCCTTTACTTTCTTCACCAAGCTCAGCTGACTCAAAGAACCCCGGACGCGGGGACGTCGCAACACCAAACTGCTGCTGTCGCCCAAGTTAGCCAGACCTGACAAACCCCATACGCTCACCCCCCAACCCTAAGCCCTAGACCCTATGCCCCATATCCTAAACCATAATCTATGGAGTGATGATTTTTTTCTTTATACCCATGTGCGCTTCAGGAGTAAAACCCCAGCTGTGCATACACACTACAGTACCTAGGGTTTCAATACTTCTGTCTAGTTCAAGTTGTGAAAATGCTGCAAAATCTATCCCCGGTGTTTTGCATTTCTTTATAAAGTGAAAACAACGTGAATTCATATCTAGGGAGAAGCAANATCTATCCCCGGTGTTTTGCATTTCTTTATAAAGTGAAAACAACGTGAATTCATATCTAGGGAGAAGCAAACTGCGACTGTATTTGCGTGCAGTGCTATACCAAATAGGCCCGTGTCTCCATCAAGGACGCCCACGATGGCAGTGCTACTGCCGAAGTTGCGGGCCTTGTGGTAAGCCCTTGTCAATGCTTCTTTCGCCAGCTCTGCGGGGTTGTTGGTGGTCTTCTCTGTGTCTTCTTCTGCTTCCGTCTCATTTCCTCCGTTTCGTTTTTTGTCGCTCGCCTTTCCCTTTTTGCATTGCTGCTCTTTTTGGATGGCGCCGAGGGCGTCTTGCGTGCCCTGCATAAGGTCTTGCGCATATTCTTGAGGGTTTATTCCAGCCAAATCCTCCCACTCAGACACCCCGTCTGCCACTCCAAACGCATTCTTAGAGGCGTCTAAAAACCAGGCATCTTCACCACCTCTGTAGCGTTTATCGTCCCGCGGGATGCTGAAGGCCCCGATCCACAAACACAAGTCCGTGCGAGCTGAAGTTCAAAAAAAAAACACACACGCACACACGCACACACATCATACACACACANCAAGTCCGTGCGAGCTGAAGTTCAAAAAAAAAACACACACGCACACACGCACACACATCATACACACACATAAACAAGCACAACAGTGACTGCAGATGCATGCGACAGTAGCTCAAGATGCATGCAGCATCCAGAACTGCCACAGAAACCAACAGACACAAGCACGCAAAGATAGCTAAGCAGCTACAGAAACTTCCATCTAAGTAACGGACAGCCAGCGGCAGCCTGGAGGAATATAGCAGAAAAAAACATTCAGAGATACGCCACAGTTGTTGTTGATATACACGCAGTATATACGTCTATCAGCTGAGAAGGCAGGCCAGCGGGGACAGCTGAAGAAGAAAAGAGCTGAGCTGCTGCCTCCCCGTGCCAGCCGAAAAATCACGGGGAGAAGAAATCCATAGTCGGGGTTGCATGAGGCTGAGGGGAGACAGCCTCATCCAGCCCTGATGAGCATATAAGATGGCTTACCTGGCTCTTCTGTTTTTTTCGGTGCCTTGGCCTCCTTTTGCAGCCGCAACAAATCGACCTCCGGGTGTCTCCGACCCAACGGGCCCCTCAATATTTGTACAATGATTTCCGGGTATTCTCCTAGACAGTCACTCATTGCAACGTAACGAGGAGCATCTCGATAAGCCCCCTCTCCATGCTTGCCGTGCTTGTGGTCCACTGCACAGAAGTTAGGGTCCCCCTCAGGCCGGCGGGTGTGGCACCCCGAGAGACACCGCACCAACCGCTCCTCCTCCTCCTCCGCTGCGCTCGCCGCAGGCCCCAAGCACAGCGCCCCGAGGTCTCTGCTCGCAAGACAAAAAAGGAGACAGAATACCAACCCATACATAACACCACCACTCAAACAAACAAAAGCGCGATGCACTACTTCACGCCTCATATCTGAGACGCGCGTGTGAGCATCATATGAAGTATATGTGTATATTGTATATATATATATATATATATATATATATATATATATATATATATATATATATATATATATATATATAGAAATATCCATGCACGTATGCCCATATGGAGCAGCAGCAAAGACGTAACGAACCTGTGTTGCGTGTGGGCGAGGTACTTTTGAATGGGACAGGCTCTCACAGTAGGCGGATCTGACCAGCTGCACGCGGAGATAGTTGAAATTACTGTCTTTCCTGGAATGGTAGGAGTTGTTCTCGAAGCTGGTGGTGGGACTGCTGATCCTGTAGCTGCCTTGCTTGCGTATGATTCTGTTGGGCCTGAGGGTATCGCACTCCCCCTCGTTCCTGCTGCTGTTGCTTGTGATTCCTGAGAGGGGCGAGTCCACCGCACAGCTGTGAGGGGAGCAGCGCTAGGAGCAGCTGCGGGGTGCAACTCTCTCCGCTGTGAGCCTTCCGTGTTGCCGTAGGCTCCCGGTGGGTGACGGTGATGGGGCTGTCGGAGGTGCACGTAGTAGCTGTCATCTCTCCCGCGGCCCTGTAGCTCGTCTAATCCGTTTGAGGGCACCCCATCCTGCTCACTGTTGCTGCTCCCCGCGTACTCTGTGTTCACCACCACGTGAACAGAGGCCCTCCTGGGGGTATCGTCTCCTTTGGGAGTCACCACGGGCAACAGCTGCACCAGAAAACGCACAATGCACGTGCTTTCCAGTGTACGCTGCGTCGCTGGCATGCTAGATGG